CAAGTATGATGCCCACAGTGTTTTATCTAGAAAACACCATCGCGCAGGCAGGCTCAGGCACGCCATGTGCAGAGACCAGCGCGGAGCACGGCGAGCGTGGCCGGCTTTTCAGGAGACAGGCTTTTAGGGTCTCAGTTAGCACCCCCACGCCCCCCAAGCCCAAAGCCAGAGACCAAAAATACCGCTATCCTCAACTGCATAAAGCTGTAGCAAAATTGTAAAACTGAAGCGTACAAAAGGAAACACGCATATAATACATTCGCACCCTGTATACAACGTCTCCCCCTTTGAACCCGGCCAGCATCAGGTCGGCAGAGCATCAGTAGAAAAAGAACCCAGCGTCTGTCCCACACGTCTGAGTCGGTGGTTCGTGTGGTTTTCCAAAGAGAGAGACTTTTCCGTTACAGTTACAGTACGTGCTGACGTCATTGTGGTTAAGAAGCCAGCCGAATTTCCTGGCAGTTGGCCAAGTAACATTTGATTGTCACAACGTACAATTCTGAGACAATAAGTACAAGGAGATTGGATGCATTTCTTCATCGCGTCAAGTCACCCCGGTGGGATTTGATACAATTCAGTGTACTTCAGTATCTCACTCACTGCTCAACCTCTGTCCAAATACTCTTGCAACAAAAAGTTAAGAAACTGAAAAGTTAACGGAAGAAGAAAACCCCAAGGGGCCTTGTCATCACAAAGCGATTCAAAGTCAATTGTTTCTGAGAAGAGTGTGGGGCCACTGACGGGCTCACTGGCATCCACGCCTCTGGGATGTCCCGGGCTTCCTAAAGTGCTCCGGTCCCTGGACTTCCCGAGCGTTCTGTGAGAAGGCCACCGATTACCCTGACTTAACCAGCGGCCAGTGCTTGTGGTAAAACTTAATGCACGTGTCCATCCCTCCAACCAAGCAGAGCAATGTGACATCTCCTACCTAAAATGTCCCTGTGTTTTTGTACCCTGGCCCTGAAATGCAGGAATGTGGGACCTGCACACCTGCGCCCTGGCAGCCCTGCTCAGGAGGCGGGACAGTGTGACTGGCCCCACTGGCCAGGCCCAGGCGCAGGGGCGAGGCCTGCCTTTGCTAGGGGAAGTAACTCACTGGAGCACTAGAGCAGGGCGGGTGCGGGGGCGGGGACATGCCGGCTCCGGAGGGGAGGCAGGTGGGCTTGTCAGGCCCACTGTTTTAACCCTAAGCCTGGTTACCCTGCAGAGGGGTGGCAGCCACTTGACCCTACAGACCCGTGTCGCCTGCCGGGGCTGCACGAGTTGCAGCAGCAGAGGGTGGAACAATTCAGCTGCAGACCAGCCGGGCTGAAAGGTTCTGTTCCGCGTGTCCTCTAGGCGTCTCGGGCAGGGACAAAGCAGCATGAAGAGTCACTCTCCACCCCAGATCTGACACAGCGGGCGGTCACCTGGATGTTCACAGCCTGGTGACTCCAAGACGCAGTGGCTAAAGCGGTGTAAGAGAGTGCTCCTGCCCCGGTGTACATGGCGCGGGGAGTGAGGAGGCAAACGAGCTGGAGATGCCGGCCGGATCCCCGGCCACACCGCACTGCCTTTGCCGGACGTGCCCACATGGCATTGATTCACGCTATTACTTGGCGGGTTGTGCACTCAGAGTTCATCTCTTCCACCTGACCCTGTATTTCTCGAGGGACGACGGGGACTGGGGAGCACCTCCCCTGGGCCATGCACCCAGTACACTGCCACCAAGGGCTGGCTGACTTGTGTCACTGCTTGCTTTTGGGTTAAAATTCCGTCATTGGGCAACTGTTTCAAACCCTTCTCAAAGCCTCAGTTCTGGGGAGAAGACGCGTAAAGAGGCGTTTGCAAGCCTTTCCCCAGCGTCTGCTCATCAGCGTGAGTGGAGGCAGTCTCCACTCACCATGCTGTCAGAGACCCTGAGGAGGGAGGCCAGGAAGTCTACAGGAGCTGCGGGCTGCCACAAAGTCACCAGGAAAGGCCACAGTCACCTTAGAAGTCCCTGGAACTCCCCAGAGGGGACTGCTGGACACATAGGGAGGGCCCACAACCCAAACACAGCACCTGGGCCTGAGCTGAGAAATACTAGTTGGCGGCCCCCTGGGCTCAGAACTCAGCCTGCTGGTCACTCCTGGGAGGGGCCCAAGGCCTGGGGCCACCTCTGTGTACCTCTAGTGGGAGGGGAGCTGACCCCACAGAGAGGCTGAGCAGACCCCTCCTCCAACAGAGAGGCTCAGCAAACATCCATGCTCACCACCCTCCCACAATGAGGCTCAGCAAACAGCACAGAGACCCCCTTTCCTGACCCAGGACCTAGTGTAGAGGGCACCAGCGACTTCAACCTACAGCACACTCTCCCCACTGTGACCAGCACAACTGTCCCAGCATTCAGCCTGATCTGGACATCACCAGCAGCAGAGGGGGTAAAGGAGAAGAAATAAGGAAAGCACTGTTCTGTGGTTTAGTGATTGAGGGAAGAAAATGAAGAGAGCTCCTCTCCCCCTTTCCTTCTGAAATGGATGAAAAGCAGAGTCTACCCCTACCAAAAAAAAAAAACCCCAAACATTCATGGTGTAGTTTTTATTGCTGTCAAAGGGCTTGGTATTCAAGTGCACAAGCTAATCTGCGTTCAGTGGGAAGGAAGTCGCTGAGATTTGAAAACTAGAAGTGGTCAATCTCCATTTACCTCGAGTCTTCACAGCTCATCACTGCCTCCACACAGAATTTACACATTAGGTATTAATTTCAAGGGGAGGGAATTTATCCCAGAGGCAAGAACTATTAATTAAACGGTAAAAAGATCTAATTTTGCATTTTCCAGGTAATGTACCTGCACAGTAGTACTCTTCAACTGTTTCCTTTAAGATTTGCAGGGTTAGTGAATTAGCAAATAACATAAACACACAGAGAGACGGATGAGCAGCATACCGTGTGCAGAGAAATGAGACCTAAGGTAGCGCTGACCGCAGCAGGAGCAGCTCTTCCGCAGGGGCTCTGCTGTGCGGGGCGGGGGGGGGGGGGTTTGGGAGGGGGCGTGGCTTGTGGCAGAGGGAAGCACGCGTCTAAGAAAAGCACTTCAAAGCCGGTCTGTTTTACACTTCAACCTCACCAGGACTTGTGTGCACCCACTGTCCCTGGTGAGCAAGTACAGAATCGTGGTTCGCGTCCCTGCGACCTCGGTCCCTTCACCAAGGTCACTAACGCAGAATTCAGTAGTGTCGTTACAAAGGATGTGGGCTGTTTCCCTAGACCTCCCCAAAATACGTACTTAGGACCAATGCATAATTATTTTTCCAATTTGCTTTATAATTTTTTCCACGCCTCTTCCCTCCACTTTTTCCCCTAGAAAGTTCACCCTGCCTCTATTCAGAATGCTGGTTACAGTGCATCAGAGATAACACCCGTTATTTTTCGTTCTCTTGCTAAAAAAGATGAGGGGAGTGTGACTTAAAAAGCAAGGTAAAGTTTCAGAGGAAAGTCGGATGCGGGCGGGGGGCGGGGCTACAGCGGAAGGGGGCCGGGCGG